GGTGCATCCCTGTTGCTGAAGACGTCTCCATCACATGGATTCACGCCCGGCACGTGCGTGGGCGGGATCATCACGGCCGTCCCGGGCCTCACTGTGCCCTGCTCAACACGGCCTTCGATGACATCGCCAACGCCTTTGACCTTGTGAACGCCATTCACCAGCATGCGCAAGGGGGCATCGGGCTCCGAGCGAGGCGGCTTGACGCCCTTGTCAAAGTAGTCCAACATGCATTTCACCTGAGCCTTGTCTGGACCCACCTCCTGACCGGCCCACCAAGTCATGTTGCCTGAAGGCTCCAACAAGTTGTCGCCTTTGAGGGCTGAGATTGGTACAAAGACCATCTTGTCCTCGAGAAACTTTGGAGGCCAGCCAGCACTCTTCATCATGACTTTGATCTTGGCAACAGCCTCATCAAAGCTCTCCTTCTTGTAGTCCACCTTATCCATCTTGTTCACAGCGACTACCACCTGCTTCACCTGAAGATTCCAGAGCAGGCGAGCGTGCTCAGTCGCCTGCTCCATGGCCGAGTCGAGGCTGTCCGCTGGCATCACAAGGACTGCTGCATCCGAATCTCCGGCGCCCGCGACGTAGTTCTTGACGAAGGACTGGTTCTCAAGCGGATCACAAACGATGTAGTGATACGTGTCTGTGTAGAAGTACTTTTCGTTCATCTCCATGTCCGAGGCTCCTCGGTATTCCTTGAACCTTTTTGCCATGCCTTCGACCAGCGTGGAAGTCCCGTATTTTTCCTTGGCTTTCTCCATATCTCGCTCCGGGATGCCGCCCAAGGAGTAATTCAGGTTCGCCAAGAAGGTGTTCTGGCCACTGCCATCCTTAGATTTGCAAATCAAACCGAACAAAACGGAACAGCATCATGTGAGCCGAATGTAATTGGAAGCATCTTCTTGCCTTCTAATCTTTGCACTCGCATAATCCAAGCATCTGCTCCGCAGAGCGTCAGGTCAATCGTGGGTTTGTCCATGCCAACAGCAGCCATGAGTGCGGCTGAGTGCGTGGATGGTGGAATAGCAAGCTGAAAGCCGGCTGAATGCCTGTGATGCCTGCGGCGCGGTGGGCTGCAGGCCGTAGCTGATGCCAGTGCACAGACGATCGCAGTGGCGCTACATGCCTGACCTTCCAATATGAGGCCTCAATACTTGGCAACATTGCTCGATGCCGTCGGGTGGCGGAGTGTGCGATCTGCAGCCACGAAGTCTCCTTCCACGGCCACCTCTAAGGCTCTTTCATTTTTCAATGCTGCAGGTTTGTACAGGGGTGCAGGGCTTCAGGCTTCAGGTCTCAATTAAGCCCTTTGGGATTAGATACGGTTCAGGGTCTCAGCACTTCGGTTCTCTGGCTCAGGGCTCATGAGGTTGAAGATATAGACTAGGCTTGGGGTTCAGGTCCTTTGCATTACTTTTTCTGGAGAAGTTTGTGTTCAAGGTCCAGGGTGCTTGACGATTTGGCCGAAGTGGTCACCCTTGGCTGATTGGCTTCTGTTTCTCAGCGTCACCTCTTTGTCAAATTCTCTACTGTCTTTCGAGTGGCTTACTCCTCTCAAGCTCTGCTTAGGTTGCTGGAACCTACGGAATGCCGTAAAACGTCAATAACACAAGTTTCACACAGATGGTTTCTGCAACAGAAGTTTTCACTGCAAACACGAACAGCAGTACTGATGCTACCAGCGTCAAACCCTCCACACCTGAAGCGCCCATAACCGTTAAGGAGCAATCATCACACTCACAACAGTGACCACTGAACCCGGATCCTGGAACTGGCCCAGCCCCCCGATGCCTGAAGATCAGCCAGGAGAGCGGCAGCCAAGACCCAGCTGAGAGATCCAAGGCCTCAGCACGCGCGCTGGGCACGTTTTGCGGATTCCGTGGATTTGAACTTTGCGCTTGGTGGAGCTTTCACAGGAGTCGCCAACCCAGCTCTTCGGAGCCAAGGGTCCACCAGTGACTGGGGGATGGGCATTTTTTCAGCGGTTGAGGTGTTGGTACAAGGGCATCACGAACGGCAATGGCTGCAGGAAAGAAAACTCCTTAATGCAAAGAAGGAAGGAATTAGGCAACGACTAAACAGTTGAGTAATCGCGCCAAGGAAGCCTGAACCAGCCAATGCGCGAACAGGCAAAACGATCAGATGCGAATCGGCATCTATGCAGCTAAGCGATGAAAGTCAGACTGTGCTTATGCACCCGGCAGAAGTGAACGAACTATCGCTCAGCTGTGTCTTACGGAGCACCAGAGGCAGATCTTGGGTCGAGTTTCGGGTCTGGGTCGGAGGAGCAGAAGCTGTGGTTTCCACTGTAGCGACGTGTTGCTCAAATTCCCAGTGTTCTAGTGCAACTGCCGGGGCCACAACCCAAAAACTCAGGCGTTGACCTCTTACCCATGAAGTCGGTGTGACTCACCCTGAAAACAGAAACATCGAAGCCTAAGCTCGGCCCTTTCAGGTTTAGGTGGACTAATGCTTAACCAAACCCTACTCGCCTCCGAAAGTAACCCGATGCCTCAAGGTAGACCCTGATCTGCCATCTTGGGGCCGGACGATCTACGGTCAGCAGCTCCTGCAACATGATTTTGGGTCGTGGGCTTTGAACATGCGGCTGCAAACCGTACAGCTTTCTCGCATAAGCTTGGGCATGCACTGTTATGCCAACATTGCGCTTAGGAGCTGATACCATCAGAAGGCTTCGCTTGCAAAACCAACAAGGCTTGCGGTTGCTGCAACGACGTCAATGTCGATGTCGACGCAGACCACGACAGCCACTACTATGCTTTATATTGCTTATATTGTCTACTCTTGCTTCTGCTGCGACGACTGCTACTCGCGTGAGTTTCTCCCAGTGTTGCTATTCCATGATGAGTATCTGTGTCAGTTTTTGCTAATGCAATCGCTGCAAGCACAATCCTCTACAGAATGTCGCAAGATGGGTCCCTGGCCTCAAGCCGCAAGACCAACTCCCTGGCGGCCGGTTGCCGAAGCAACGGGTCCGAAACACCTCGCAGCTTCAGGATGTTGGGGTGGTCGAGACTGGGCTCTGATGTAGGTGGGAGTGGAGAGCAGCGTTCGAGCCTACCTGGCCAAGCACAAACCTAGGATTTGCAGTGCAATCTGCCTCGAATCGAAAGGCTGTCTGGATGAGGATCTGCACGTCTTCCTGACTGTCCCACAGGGTAAAGCATGCGATAGAGCTTTGCACTGGCGCAAGGCACGCATACATGCAAAGGTGTTAACATGCATACATGCGACGTGCATACACTTGAAAAAGCCTGCGTAGGATGCATGATGCATGAAGCCCGCTGCTACTTGTGCTGGCTCGGCGTGAATGCAGCCCACAAGCCCTCGGGGCTAGTAGCACCGTGACGAAGCATTTGGCATGTAATTGCTCTTGATTCCTCAACCCGACGTGCAGGGAGGGCGACCTTAGGTAACGAGCATAAGGGATAAACGCATATCTTCATGTCGACACAGAGAAGTTTCGAGTGTCGGATTTCGTGACATTGGAGGTCAAGTTATCTAGGTTCTCTGACTCACTAATTAGCATAGCTGATGCTTTCCAGGTTCAATAATCGGTGGAAGTTGACAGTCACGACACTCGCAATCTGAGCAGTGTCGTCGAAAGTGATATTTAGATTGTATAGCTCGATTGGTACCATGCCTTGTGGAGGCCTTGCAACCGTGCCATAGACCCGTAGCCAGGATGCTTGTCACCTGATTCTATCAATACTGCATTTGGTCCTAAGCCCACGTCATCGTCCCATACCAATAACAGAACCTCAACGGTGCCAGTGACAGCGGGAACATCGGATCATGGTGATGATGGAAATGAAGAAAATGGCGACAAGTGTTGAATTGGAAATGATGAGGACGGTCAAGTTGGTGGCGTACATTTTCAGCAGCGCCCAACAAAAAAGCGGTAACCTCGCGACAACAGAATTGTAGCTATGATGCACGGAAACCAAGCAAGCCCGGAGCACCTCGGAGCAAGGCTAATTCTGCAACCAGCCTCGGCTGAAGGGCACTGAACATCTCTGCGGGCTGAGGTGTGTGTTCCCGACCAATGACTTGATTGTGTAAAACGCTAAGCCAAAGTAGTGGGCCTTCACCAGGACAGTCCATTCTGCATCCTTGACTTTATAGTGACAGCCATGCAAAGCTTTGGAAATGGTCACACATTAGAATGCTTTAGGGCCTTTAGGGGTCTGGGGGAGTGCATCTCAGGCTGCCAAACTCAGGCCCCAAGCGCGAATCTGGCTCTGTGACTTTCCACGTAGGATAGGTGGACCCTTATATCTACTGAAGGCTGAACCGAGTGATGGCGGGGATCACGCGCCGGATTGCGCCGGAAGATACTGTCATGCTTGAACGCCGTGATGGCCTAACCAGCCTAAGCGCAGTCCTAAAGCAGAGCGCAGCAGCTGAGCACAAGCGTTCTGAACACACTCGCCACTACAGCATCGCCTCTTCTCTTGAGTACTACACCCTTAACCTTCGAGCCACTCTTAGCCCTGCTGGTGTAACGATGATTACATGCAGACATGTGGCCCCTTGAGCTTCAGCCAGCTTGCATGCTCGGCATCCTGCATCACCACTGTTGGGACGGCAAAGCAATCACAAACTGATCATGACACAAAATAGTGGCAGCCAAAATGAAGATGGTCATTCTGGGACTGTGCGCGTGCATCTAATCTCCATGGTAGAGGAGTTTTGGTGCTGCAGGATGTCAATGCCTGAAAGGTTTGGCGGGGCCATCGAGTTTAATGACGCTTGTGAACATCATGAATGGTAATTTAGAGCCTTCTTCGAACTTCTTCGTCTTCGAAGGCCTGGTCTCCGAGTTTCAAGCGCGCATGAAGGCAAGTGTTCCGGAGGCCTCGTTCCCCTTCGCCTCCTCTGCTAGGCAGCGAGGGCAGCGGCATTGGAAGGCAGCCTCGAGCTAAACCGCCACCATAAGCTTTAGGTGACTTCCCAGCTACAATACCGCAAAATAACTTCCCCTTTCACTTCAAAAATCCTTGTCTAGACAAAAAAGCCGCTAGATCTCAATATCTCCCAAGGCATTTCTAGGTTCCTGAAGGTGATACGAGAACAGGATTTAAGAAAGCCTGAACACTACACCGCGAATCCAACAAAGTTACCCTCCCCCGAAATCAAAACCCGAAAGTTGGGACTAGCTAACAAAGCTAGCGCGTTACAAAGAAATGGGTTTCCAACTATTCGCAGTAGCACTGATATTAACATCCAGAACCTACCAAAAGCAAAACCGAAGCCCTAAACCCTAAACTCCATCACAAATCTCAAGAGATCCCGGCTTGGGGTCCGAGGGCTGCCATCAGCCGGCGCCTGCGCTTTCCAAAATTCTAGGAGACGGAAAGGAACTGCGAAAAGAAAGCTTTGGGTCCATGCTTTACGCGCAGAATTACATAGGGTCCTCGGTTTCTATCAGACTTTGGTTTCATTGCTTTAGTGGCTCGGGGTCAGGAGTTTCGGTTTCGAGTCTCGAAGAACCCCGTCAATATCTGTCCGCACAAGAATGTTTGCGGTCTGCAGGAGTTTGAATTATACGGCAAAGGTTCTATGCCCTAACCCAAAAACTTTAGAAATGCAAGCTGAAAGTGGTGGGGGACTTGTACTTTCAGTTCCGAATGTACATATTTACACACACATAACATCTAGGTGTTTGTATGTCTGTCTGTATGTATGTGGTCGAGTATGAAAGTAGGCAAGTAAGTAAGTAAGTATGTACCTACGTCTGTCTGTCTCTGTCTCTCTGTCTCTGTCTCCCTGTCTCTATGCCTGTCCGGCCGTCTCTCTCTGTCGGTCTGCATCCATGGGTGCATGTGTGTAGACGTAGACATTCAGGCAAGTATGTATGCAGGGAAGGATATAGAAATACGCAGCACTTTCATTGGTATATATATATACACATGGCAAATGTTCAGATAGATTCTTATGTGCTAGGTATGTAAAGATACACGGATAACGCCCATTGTCAAGATGCAGGCATAGGAGTTAGATTTGGATCTGTATCTAGCGATCAAGACCTGGAGTTCACAGCGGTGGGTTGGAGCGTTGTGTGTAGCAGCTCCCGGCCTTTCTGTCAACGGCTGGAAGGGGAAGAAGTAACCTCATTGGCTAAACCCTAAACCCGGAACTCCCAAACCTCCAAATGAGGGTTTCCTTGTAGGAAGCTTTTTACACCAGGTGGGCATGCTCCTGAGAAACAGCTATTTGAGGAACGGTCTCCCACTCCCATACCTTGCACTGCACCTCGACACAAGATAACTGCACAACTAACACCTCAATCTCTGCAAGTGGAGGCCCCACTTTGCGTTCTATGCTCAAACTCGCTAATTCCGAAAGCCCTTGCAGTATATATATATATGTGCCCGATACC